TTCAAAGTAGGTAGAGAGATATTTGAATTTATGTACAAATCGCATAATTCACGATTTACAATATTATTAAAGATTTTTTTTTATGGTGGTTTCTTTTTTTACAGGTAGAGAAAATATGCTCTAGAAAAAAATTTTTTTTTGTATCCAAGAATTCATTTTTGTTTCTTTTGGTTCAATAATTAAAATTAATATTTTAGTTTGTTAAAAATTTGTTATATTTTCTGCTAGTTTTTATTTTTTTAGATTTTTTTTCGGCTTTATTTTCTCTATACGTTTGTCGAAATTCCACTCTGTCCTACTTTTAATAAATGAGAAAACGAGACAATTTGAATAACACTCAGTGCAATCATAAAATGTGTCGATAACACTGCGCGCATTTTTTTTTTTTTATCGAAGAGTTTACATATTTAATAAATGAATAAAATAATATACATATAGGCAAGCTATTTTTATACTCAAAAGTATAACATTTAATTAATGTAGCTGACACATTGCAATCTCTTTCAATTTTTTTCTTGTTTTACTAATAAAGATGGTAAATTATTATCTTGAATAAAATTTTTCTATTATTTTCTCGAAAGAGAAATTATTTTTTCAAAAGTTATAAAATTTTCTAAAATTTTAATTAAATTCTTCTAAACAAATCAATTATGTTTCTGAAAAGCTACAAAATTCTATGCTAGAATAAAATTAGTTCAGATTGAAAATTATGATTTTTAATTGAAAACAATTTTACTGAATAAAATGACCTTTGGAAATAATAAATTTTTCTAGTTTACAAATTACAAAAGTATTTTTTAAAATTAAAAAAAAATATTGAAAGAGATTGTCGATGTTCAACTACAAGAATACAGATATCTATCTTTGATTATATTATAATAATTCTAAAATCGCACATTGTTTAAAATCGAGGAAAAAAAATTATGTACACATACATAGAAATTTGAATCGAGAAAATTTCTCATCCAATTTTCTAAATTGCAAAAATTATACATATAATTTGTTTTTGAATTTAGAAAATTTAATAAAATATTTTCTCTCAATCAGTTTTGCTTATTTTCTGTTTTCCTGTTTCTGCTACTAAACTTTTTATTTATAGCCCACTATAGAAATGTAAACATAATAATTATATTGCATTGGCACATACATATGTATATATATACGAAAAACTAAATATTGTTCGCTGCTATTTGTGATTGAGAATTTTAGCCTCTAATTTTAGCTACTAAAAAAAAATGAAAAAAAGTGAAAAAAAATAAAATAAATTGTTTACAAAACAAATAGAAATTTTACATTACTATCAATTAGTGTGCTTATTGTACATTTATAAGAGTAATGGTCAGATATATTATTTACAAGAGTTTAATATAAAACAGACGGATTGTGTACGTGTGAAGTGATTTCAAAAGGAAAATTACTCCTTGCAGGAACATCGATTTTTGATATTAAAGAAGCATTTCGAAAAAATACGCAAAATATTGAAAAATTGCCACAAATTCAAATTCATTTTTAATTACTTCTTAAATTTAAATATATATATACGTTTGTCTTAAATATGCCATTGCAAATTAATTTTCCAAAACTCACATCTATCTTCATTGTATTTTAACAATCGAAACGAAGAAGAAGAAGAAGTATTCGCATAATTATTTCTTAATATAAAACAACATTAAATGTAAAAAATCCCTATTACAATATTTACATAAATAATTTTCAAACATTTTTTTCGCTTAATTTCTTTTTTTCTTCCTCATAAATTTTATTTGAATTACATAGAAAAAAAATGCGAAAATATTTGAAAATTCTTTACGTCAGTTTTTTTAATATAATTCGAGGAAAGTAGTGTTTTGAAAAAGTATCCTGCAATTATATTCACAAAATCTTAAAAAATACGCTTTAGTAAAAAATTCCACTTGTTAGCTAAATATATATTAGTTTGTAAATGAGCTTAATGCAATATTTTTATTTGCATTGTAGGAAAATTATCAGTATTTTGTATATAAATTGAAATCAAGAATTAAAATCAAATTATGCGGTAGAGTAAACATTATTTTCAATTTTTTAATTCCTAAATTCCTATTTGGAAAATAATAAAATTGTAAAATTATTTTGTCGAAAATATTCTTATGGAATGTTAAAAAAACTAAAATTGTTTTTTTTTTAAATTTACTTTGTAAAAACTGTTGAAATATTTGTCACAAAAGTTACTTAGTACGTCAGACTCACTCTTTTTAGTTTAAATAATCTTTAGAATTAATTTCATTAGACATTTTCGATTTTGCTTTTCATTTCACAAATCAATCATCAACTAATCAACTTGATAAATATCGAAAAAATAAGTTCCAAAAAAATTTTGAGCTTAAAATGAACTTTTCGCAGAAAAAAAATTAATTAGAAAAGTTTATAAATTAAAATCAAAAAAGTAAATTTAACATTTTGGAAATTTGTGAATTTCTGAACTTTTTAATACTTGACACAATATAATTGTAAATTTGAAATAAAAATAACTAAATTTTCTTCAAAACTTGTGGAGAATTGAATTCGAAACAGAAAAAATAAATGATAAAAAATTAAAACGAATTTTTGCGTTTCAATAAAATTAGAATTTAAAAAAAAATAGTTTAACATTTTTTTGGTTAAGAAAAGTTTCTTGTTTTCAAAAGGCAAAATTAAATCTCAAATGTTCGAAAATGTCTAATATTTTTAGAATTACGTGAACACAGATAATTTGAGAGATCGCAGTTTAAAAAATCAAGTTTACAAAATTCAAGTAAAAAGTATAACTCAGGCTTCTTTTTTTACACATTATAAATTGAATACAATGAATTGCGTTGATTATAAAGCTTATGAGACACACGATAATTATTTTATAAATTTACGGACATCTGCAAGAATAGAGTTCAATCGCCATTGACATACAGAATTCTTAGACATTATTTCTAGACTCTAGATTGAAAATAGTCTCTCTCTTTTTTTTTTTTTTTTTTTTTACTAACAATTCAAACATCATTTTCTCTAAACTTTTTTTATTCACAAAAAAATGAATTCCTTTCCAATGACAATATTATATTGTTTAGCCAGCTTTAAAAACTGTTTCATTTCAATTCTTTTTACATTATAATCCGACGATTTTAAGCTCTAAATTCCTAATTAATGAATTAGTCAAAAATATTATTGACTAAAATTCACATCATTGTTAGTTATGTATATTATATATTTTTTTTTTTCTAAAATTTTATCGAATGATAAATGTTGTCTCGAGTTTTTAGAACTCACTATAATGAACACGATGGATGCCAATAATCAATCTTGGCACTTATTTATTTTTTTGAACAGAAATTCGTTAATTTTTTGTTTATTTTTTTCACGATTTTTCAATTTAGAAATGTAGCCTTTTTTCGAATGCGTAAACAGTATTTAAAAAAAAAATTGATTGTAAAAGTAAATTAATAAGATTTTATCACTCGGTCGTCATTGATAGTAAAAATATGAAGTTAGCGATAATTCCGAGTCAGGTAAAAAGAAGAATCTTCTTTACCTGACTCGAAATTATTGTAAATTAAATTTTATTATTTTTGTAAAAATTATTTAGCCTTATGAGAAATTTATTCGAGAGTAAAGTCAAAAATAAAAAATCAGCAATAATCAAAGTTCAATTAAAAAAAATCAGGTCACATGCACAACGTATATAGTGTTATAATATAATAAATATATTAATATACATAAAGTATATGTATAATTGTAATATTATATATTATATATAAGTATATTATAATACATTTTCTGTATTATATTATAATACAATTTCTGTATTATATCATAATATAATTATACGACTATAATATTTTTATATGTTATCGCAAATAATAAAATTATCGTATTCAAAATTGACACGAAATTATTATATAATCGTAGCGCTATTGTATAATTAAAAATACGTTTACAATATAATTTAAAACTAAACGTAGAGATTCCAATTTAAAATTTGACATTTTTCATTTTAATCGAGACATGGCATGTGTAAAACAATTTTTTTTAGGAAAACAAATTTTTTCCAATTGTTGAAGTTCACAACGTTTATGATCTACTAATTAGGATAACAAAGACTTTAAAAAAAAAAATTATCATAATTTTTTCCTTGAAAAAAATATTTTTACAAATCTTATTCTACGAATTTTTTTACAAATTATTTTTGTATCAATTTTTTTATCTTTCTGAAAAAGATTTGTATAAGAATTTGTAGAAAGAAAAATTTTATTTTTCGGGTGAAAAATATTTTTTTTTTCAATTAATCACTTACCGTTGATTAACTGAAGAATTTTTTACTTGAAAACTCTTGAAAACTTTTCAAAAATTTTATTTTACGAATTTTTTTACAAATTATTTTTTGTCAATTATTTCTAGAAAAAAAAATTTGTATAAAAATTTGTAAAAGGACAAATTTTATTATTTTTCGTGTTGAAAAATTGAGAAAAAATTTATTTTTTCAATTATTAATCGTTGATTATAAACGTGGTGAACTTCACTCGCATCTTTTTCCATTAATTTGCAAATTTTAACAAACGTCTCGATTAGAATCGAAAAAATAAAATATTGTCAAAATTATTTTCGGCAAGATAAAAAGAAAAAAAAGAAAAGAAAGAAAAGAAAATTGTCAGTAAACATAAAAGTTATAAGTCTATAGAGCATTCTAGAGTATATTTATTACATTGCCTTTTTAGTCAAACAAATACGAGTAGAAAATTTTTGTTTGATTGCCGCTACATTATACACATTATCTAACTCCTGGCGTTCTGATTTCTTTTCTTTTCAGTATTTTCAAAAGCAAAGAGAATAAAAATATATATAATAAATTATCATTAATGGATAACATTTTCATATATACCTTAAAATTACAGGAATTAGAGAATTTTTCTTACTTACAGTCACAAACTGCAGAACAAAATCGAAAAAGTTGAAAATCTTCCTTTCATTTCAGTAGAATGGTAGTTTAATTTTTCTTTGCGTTGATTGTGATGAATCTTTTGGTACAGATTTTTTTTTTTTTTTGATCAAATACGTTTTGTCGAAAGTTTAAAATTTGAACGAAGAAGTCAAGAGTGTTTTCAATGTGTGCAGTGGAAAAAATTACTTTGCCTTTGCTCCAGGGATTTTTCCAAATACCTGCGAATAGAATTTGAAAATTTATTTATTTTTATTGTATTTCAAAATTTAAATATTCTAAATTCTAGTTTTTAGAATCTTTAAAAATAAAATTCTAATTTAAAGAAGAAATAAATAAATTTCCTAGATTTAAAAGTTCAAAATTTTAAGGATGTAAAATTAAAAAGAAAGAAAAAGAAAGAAATTTCTAATAATTTTAGAGGAATTTTCTTCTCACTTTTGATACATCAACTCCGGTGAGTGCTTGCACTGCGGGGGGCACTTGGCCAACGAGTCGGGTGAGTTCCTCAGTGTATGCACCATTTCCGCCCAAAAGTACAATTTCGTCCGTCCTGGCAAGAGGAGCAGAAACTTCCGCAGCAATCTGTAAATAATACACTTTTCTCAAAATACTGTTCATGATTTGTTAAAAAAGAAAAAAATTCTTCTTTTCTTTTCTACGATAACAAATTTCAAGAAGATAAGGAATTGTAAGAATTAACAAATAAAATCTATCTTCTATATAAACTAATACTTTTTTTAAAAATAAAATTAGCAATTTTAAAAATAATAGAATTTAAAAATTTTCTAATTTAAATTTTTGTTGAAAACACTAAAAAATTCAATTTTTAAGAAATTACAAATAATTGCAGAAATTCAATTATTTTCAAAAAAAAAATAAAATTCTTCTTATAAAATTCAAAATTAAAAATAATTTAAAATTCTAGAAAATAATAATTTAATTAAAATGATGAGAATAATAATTACAGTAACTATATTCTTATAACATAAAAAAAATGATTTTATTACTTGGTCATCTTTAATTATTATAAAACATGAAGAAATCGATCACTCCGAGTCTTCGACTCGGAGCAATCGATTTCTTCATATTTTATAAAAATACTTTTATAAGTTGTTTAATTTAAAAAAGGTTTGAATTCGAAATTTTTTAATGTTTTAATTCATGTGGAAAATCCTGTTCCAAAAATAAGATTAAAAATAGAAATTGTACAAATATTTTTCTTCTTTTTCAAAAACAAAATAATAATTTTGTTAAAAAAATTGTGATTCATAAACAAAAATAATGCAAAATAAATCAATTTTCTATTTCTTAATCACAGTTTTTTAACAATTTTCTAATTTTGTTTCGAAGTAAAGAACAAAAGTCTGTATAATTTCAATTTGACAAAACATAATAATAGTTAACAAAATTTTAGTCTTTTAATGAAAAGAAGTGAAAAAAATTCTGATGATTTCTATTTGTCATTACAATTTTGAATTAATTATAAAATAAAAATTAATTATTATATGTTTTAATTATTATCATGTTTGCTTTTTTGTTTCTTAACTTTTTTAATAATTTTTCTTTTTAAATATTTAAAATTTTAAAATTAAAATATATTGAAAATCATCAAATTGTTGCAAAGAATTTTATCAAAAAATTTGATAATAATATAGAATTCCTTCAAAGAATTTTATTATTTAGAAAAATAATTGGAATTCTCGTGAAGAATTTTGTTCAAATTTTTGAAAATTCCCATTAATTTCTTTTTCAAGAATTTATTTGAATTTTGTTTTAAATATTAATCGTGTTTAATAATAATTGAAATTAAACATTTAATTATTGAATTTTATTAAAATTTTTGAAAATTCTTTAGAAAAATTTTATAATGAATTAAGAAAAAAAATTAAATTCTTTGGTGAAATTTTTTTTAAAATAATTGAATTTTTGCAAAGATTTTATATCGAATAAAGAAAAAACTGAATTTATTAGTGAAATTTTTTTGAAAATAATTGAATTTTTTTTTCAAATTAAATTTGAAAAAAGATAAGAAAAGGATTGGAAAATGTAAAAATTATCAAATTGGAAAAAAAATAATAATGACAAGTATATTGAATTTAGTGAATATTTTTGGAAAATATTTTTGAAATATTGAATTCAATTTCCTCTACCTTAGGCATTGCGTTTAGCACCAAATTGAGAATAGCAGCATCTCCATATTTCTTATAAACAGCAGCTCTCATGCGCATTCTTTCAGCTTCCGATATGCCAACCACTTGCATTGCGTGTGCTTCCGCATCGCCAATCATTCGAATTCTTTCTGCTTCTGCCTTTGCCGCATCCACTGTTTGTGACCTTTAAAATAAAATTATTCCATAAGATTTCTCAAAATTTTCCCCAATATTTAATAATTTATTTATTCAATCAAAATTTTAAAAAAATGTCCCAGATATTTTCCAAAAAGTTTTGAATTTTTGAAATTCAAATATCTTTTTTCTTTTCTATAAAAATATTTTCAAAAATTACTACATTAGAATTAAAAATAAAATAAATTTTAACATTTATATAAACATAAAGTAATTAATTTTCCAAATTAACAAAAAAATATTTAACAAAATTCAAATTTTAAGGATGTGTTGAAAAAAAATCGTCGTTCTTTTGAATATTCAAATCTTTAGGAACATGAACATCGAGAGAAAGAGAATTTTTTAAAAAAATTTTACTACGTAAAGTTTACAACGTTTATCAACGATTAGAAGAAAAAGAATATATTTTACTCCAAAAATGTTATATTTAGAAATTTTATTTTTTGACTTATTGATACAGAAACTTATTTTATTACTATTTATTTAAAATCTATAACTCAATTCAATAATAATTATGAAAAAATTTCGAGACGACTATAAAATTCTCTCAAATAGGGAAAAATAATTGATGAAATTAATTAATTAATTGATTTTTTATTCAAACTCAGGAAATGTTTTTATTTTTTTTAGATAAAAATTACCTCTTTCCTTCAGCGATTTTGCCCATTTTGTAATGTTCAGATTCGGCAGGCAAACGAACAGTGCTCTCGAGTTCGTGTCCCTTTCTGAGGACCTCTTGTGTCTCAACTTCAATTTGCTTTCGTCTCTCGACAATATCAATTTGAATTTCTTCGTTTCGTATTCTCTGCTTTATTTTTGCTGCTTGAAGTTCGTAGGCCAATTGTGCTTCAGCTTTCTGTAAAAGAAAAATAAATCATCTTCAGTTTTTTACTCTTAAATCAAAATATTTATCTATTCTTCTTCTAAAATAAGTAACCTATTAATTCAATTTACTTTTTCTGAATTCAATTTATTTTTTTTTTAATAAATAAATTATCAATTTCATTTATTTTTTCTAAATTAGTATTTAGACAAACATCAAAATTTTGATCTATTTGTCTTCTTATAAAATAAGTAAACTATCAATTTATTTTTTCCGCATTAAAAAATTACCAATTGAATTTATTTCTTAAAAAATAAATAAAACTAAATTAACAAATTATCAATTTAATTTGTTTCACAAAAAATAAAAGTTTTATTTAGAAAAAATAAATAATGTAGGTAATAAATGATAAATAAATAATGCTGAGACAAATATACTTTTATTTCACTCAAATAAATTATTATTTGATTCCAATAAATTATATTTGATTCAAATAAAATTTTTTTCAGTGTGCAGAACATTAAATTCCACTAATCAATGCTCCTAAAATTAATTAGTTGTTGAAAATATTAGTAAATATTTTCATTGTACGTACGGCAGTGTTAACTTCTTGATCGAAATTCGCCTTCTGCAATTGATAAAGTCTCGCATTGTCTTCAATCTTCGTGTCGGTATTGTATTTAATATCCATTGCCGCTTTCTCGCATTCAGCTTCCTGTTAGTGGAAAATCAATTGAAATTAGTTACTTTACTTCATTTATGAAAATTAATTAATTCTAATTTATTTATTAATCCAAAATCTAATTGCCAATTGATTTATTGATTAAACTTGATTCATTGCTCCAAAAAATTAGTAATTAATTTTTTCAAATCAATTAATTGCTCTAAAAATTAGTAATTAATTATTCCAAATAAATTAATTAATATCCCAAAATTGGTAATAAATTACTTTTTTTATAATAAATTTCAAAAAAATACAGTGATTCGAATTACTTTAACTAAAAATGCAAATTGATAATGAATTTAATTATAATTAAATTAATAATTAATTGACAAATTAACCCGAAAATTAGTAACTAATTTAATAATAAAATAATTTTTTATAATAAAATCCAATATTAGTCGAAAAAATACACTGATTCGAATTACTTTACTAAAAAAGAAAAAAAAAAGAAAAAATTGAGTGGGAAAATTTTGAGGAAAGGCGATAAATATAGAATTTTCTTAATTAACGAAAGAGAGGAATTTATTGTCGGGAGATTTTACCCGAATGCCAGCATCTCGATTAGCTTCGGCGACACCGACGTCAGCATCTCTTTTCACTTCAGCAGTTCGAGCCTTTCCGAGGGAGGCAAGATATTGAACGTCGTCGAAAACATCTTTAATGGTAAATGAAAGTATCTCGATGCCCATGCGACCAACATCTGGAGCTGCTACTTCGCGGACAAGAGCCGCAAATTGATCTCGATCCTTGTAAACTTCCTCGACCGAGAGAGTGCCTACAAACAAGAATTATTTTCCCTTTATTTTCACTGCACCTAGATACTTATATATATATATATATACACAAAAGTTCTTTGATTCGTTTCAAAATAAATTCTTTCTTTCAAATATTCTTCGATTTCCTCAAAGTTTCAATTTTCTTAATTTAATTAAATTCAATTTTTAATCAAATAACAATAAATGTCATTTTTATTTATTTATTTTATTTATCACACACAGAAAAAGTATATTCTATTTGAGTTTTGTCTCAGAGGCAAAAAGACTTTTTATTTGTTTTAAATAAAAATTGTATTATTATTATTATTATTTATTTATTTCTTTGACATTACAATACATTGTTTCTTGTCTGTTAGAGCCTCATTCACATTTCACTATTTACATGCCAACAATTAAAACGAAATAAAAATTGTATTTACATCGAATAATATTTTTATTTAAAACAAATAAATAAGGTTCTTTGGGACAAATTTACTTTTATTTAACTCAAGTAAATTATATTTTGTTTAAATTAAAATTTTTCTCTGGGAGCATTTATTTATTATCTGAATAAATTACAAATTATTAACAAACATACAACAAAAAATTATTTACATTTTTATTTTTATTATTCTAATACAGTTTAAAATTAGTTTTCAGTTATAAAGAAAAATTCTATAAAAATAAACCCCAAAGAAAATAAAAATTTCTCTAGATAAAAATTTCCCTAAATAACCATTCAGCATCTTGTTTTTTTAAATAATATAATACAATGTACAAAACATGAAAACTGTAATAAAATAATAATAAAAAATAATCAAAGAATTTTTGTTTATAAATTTAAAAAATTGTCCACATGAAAATAATCGATTTACAGAAAAATTGTAGTTAAAAACACTTAAAAAAAATTGAAATTTGGAGAATTTACAAATGATTGCAGAAATTCAATTACATTGAAAAAAAATTTAAATTCTTCTCCCAAATTCAATTACGTTCAAAAAATTTTAATAAAATTTTTGGCAAAATTTGAATTATTATAAAAAATCATAAAATCCTTCGCAGAAATTCAATTATTTTCAAAAATTTTAATACAATTCTTGTCAAAATTCCAATTATCTTTATAAATAATAAAATTCTTCTCAAAAATTCAATTAATTTTCAAAAATAATAAAATTCTTGGCAAAATTTCAATTTTATTTTTAAAAATAATAAAATTCTACGCAAAAATTCAATTACGTTCAAAAATTTTTAAAAATCATTGTCGAATTTCAATTATCTTTATAAATAATAATAAAATTCGTCTCTAAAATTCAGTTATTATCAAAAATTTTAATTATTTTTAAAAATAATAAAATTCAATTGAATATTTGGAATAAAGTCGAAAAATTCGCATTTTTTGAAAATAAATCGAAAAAAGTCGCTTTTTTTGAAAATAGTCGAAAAAAGGCTAATTATCCGAGGGCCTGTTACTACTTTTAATTTCTATTTTAATAAAAAGAAAAATATTTTCACTTTAATTGCAATTGTTTTAAAGCAGTTAAAAAATATTTATCTCCGTATGTTTCTTTTTATCAAAAAGTTTTGTCACGAATATTTCTGCAAATTTTGAAATAGAAAGACACAACATGAATTTGACATAAATATTTAACATTTTTTTAAAACTAAACACATATAAATTTTTTTGCCTCGTGGATAATTTTCATTGGCTGTGGATTGCAGTAAAATTTTTTTTTTTTAAATAAATGTATTGCATTCGTATAAGTTTCTGTTTCTAAACATATTCTATTTAGTGCATTCCGAAGCTACTTGGATTTTTAGAAATTCCATTTCACGGTTAGAGAAAAGTAATAATGGTTTCTATAAAGAAACTGCAAATTATTTTGGATTTTTTATTGATAAGTTTGAAAGAGTATAATGATTATAAAAATAATAATGCGGCACATGTGGATCAGGAGACAAAAGATCGAATCGCCAATGTAGATGAGGTAAATTGCAAATAAATAGAATAACTTTTCTTTCTGACAATCATTAATGTATGTAAGTAGAAATAAAAAAAAATCCTGTTTTTTAAAAATGAAACATTAATTAAATTGTACCTATAATTAAAAAAATTTTGTTATTCAATTCAGAAAATAATAGTAATTTTTATAAATTCTTTTTATTCTTGTGCTCAAAAACTAAGTGGTCACGTGCAATGAGATCTTTTGGAAGCTCATTTATAATGATGTTGATACATAGCAAGGAGGATGATTTTCTCCAAAACATATTTAAAGAAGTAAAAAATGAAAATCGTTCAGAAAATATACAATTTACGAACGATTTGTCAACGGTTTTTCGATATTTCAAAATGAATTTAAAAAATAAACAATCAAACTTTATGAAGATAATAAATTTCATGATAGCTAGTGCAAATTACTATCACTTTTATCACAATGGTTTTAATTTTTCTTTATTGGCCGATTTAAGAAGTAAAAATGAAGAAGTGTTAAAATTAATTATGTCAAATCCTGATCGTACGACATCGGAAAATGATGCTTTCCTCTATCCATTCCTTTCGTTATTCTGGGTGTATTCATTAATGTTTCCTACACTCGCCAATAGTGAAAATTACACTGATTGCTATTTTGATGCTCTTGTGGGATTCAGAATACCAAATGATACAATTTTTAATTTTCATTTAGAAAAAGAGGAAAAAATCGAAATTTTACTGACAAACTTAACAATTCCATTGAAAAATTTATTGTCATGTATGTTATTACAGGTAATTTGGAAATTATTAAAAGCATTTAGTTAGTTCAACAGCAATAATATTAATGTATTTATTTTCATATTCAAAAATAAAAAATTACATTTCATTGAAAATTTAATGATTTTTAATTATAATAGTATTGCTGAATTATTTTTTTCAAAAAGCAAATTTACATAACTTGAAATATTTTTTCTTGCAGCCAGAAATAAAGAAGTCTGTGGAAGAAAATCCGATACTTAACGAAGCTTTCAAAAATATCACCATAATACCCTCTGATGAACTTAATGAAAAACATGAATTATTCAAGAATCATTTGAAGCTCGCTATCGATTATTTTAAAAATGTTTTGAAACTTGACGATTGTAATAAATTCCCAAAGTTTAATAATTCAAAAAAAGATGAATTCAATTTTCAGAAAATTGTTAATTTGCTAACTCAAACAGCAATGGAAAATTATTTGTTACACAAAAACTATTATCCCGAATCTTCGAGCTTTCCTGAGACTAGAAGTGAAGAAATGCGAAAATTAATGCCCTCTGAATGCGTGCCAGGATTAAATGAAAATAAAGAAACATTTAAAAGCCTCTATCAATTTTTAGATTTAATAATAGTATATTCATCAGAGTTTATCTATGGAAAGAAACGGTATTTGAAGAATATTTTGGAATTATTATTAATAAATGAGAAAATTGAAGAGTTCGTTTCGAAGAAAAATAACGTGAGCAGAGAAACATTAAATACCAGTATAAGAAAAGGAATGAAAAATATTAATATTATTGTATTATACCATAAGTAATTTAAAGACATAAGAGAAAAAGTGTTTTCTCAAATTACTTCTCAATTAAAAAGAAAATAATATTTTGGGTATCTGTAATTGAATAAATTTTCAATAATTATTATTTATTGACATTTATTTAATTACAGAGACCCAAAATATTTATTTATAAATATTAAAGTATATAAATAAAACATTACAAAATTATTTGTTAATAATATGTAAATAAATTTAATCCTTAAATATCCGTTTATTTATTTCAAATTTTCCCTTTACATCTGTTAAATTATTTAAACTTAATAATCCATATTAATCGTTGTATTTCGGTAATCTGTTCGCAGTTTGAAGTTGATGTTTGTTTCTCAAATTTTAAAATAGTTTTTCTTTTTAAATGTTTAAAATTTGAAAATAAATTCATTTCAAGAATTTTATCAACATTTATTTCAATAATTGAATTCTTTCGAGAAAATGTAATTAAAATTGTATTGAAAATAATTTAATTCTTGAATAGATTCTCCGAGAAAATTCAATTATTTAAAAAAATAATTGGATTTTTCACGAGAATTTAATTATTTAAATATTTTTTAATAAAATTCAATTCAAGAATTAAATTATTTTCAAAAATAATAAAATTTTCACTCGTATTCAATTTAAATTATTTTAAATACAATTTTAATTGAATTCCAGGGAGAATTTAATTATTTTTAAACATTTTTTTAAAATTCTTCGAAAGAATTCAATAATATCAATAAATAGTACATTTTTCGAAGGATGTCAATTATTTTAAATACAATGTTAATAAAATATTCTTCTCAAAATTTCACTTATTTTTTAAAATTTTGCAAAAATTCAATTATTTGTAGAAATCATAATTTTTTTTACAGAGATTCAATTATTTAAAAGAGTTTTAATAAAATTCTAGTCAAGAATTCAATTATTTTTAGAAATAATTAAATTGTCAACGTACTGAACATCATATTGTATTCTTGTAAAATATTTATAAAAAAATTTGAAAATAATTCAATAAGACGGCTCCCGTTGATATGATCTTGTTTCAATTGTCAAAATAATAAAATCGTCTTTGGAGCTCAGTTCAATATGATCTCGATTCAATTGTCAATTTAATATAATCTCGCAAAAGTTTCCGTGTAATAAAATCTTAATTCAGAGTAACTTTAAATTCAATTAAAAAATAAAATATTAATTCATTTTTAATATTATTTTAGGTTTTATAATGATTAAATAATAATTAATAAAATAAAATATAGAAAAATAAATGAAGAAAATTATTAAAATTATTAAAACTATTAAAAATAGCAGAAAAATAATAAATTATTAACTATAAAATATTAATTCGTTTGTAATATTATTTCATACTTTTCAATAATTAATTTAATAATTAATTAAATGGAAAAATAAATAATAAAATTATACAAATCTAAATAATAATAAAAATACTGAACTAACTAATTTTAATTAATAAAATTCATTATTCATTAAAAAGTATGAAATAATATTGCAAAAAATAATTAAATTAATTAAGTAAAAAAAAATTGACAAAGTATAATAAAATGGGTATTATCTATAATATTTAAGAAATATATTGAGAATTATATTACACTACATTTTTCATCTGAAATTCTTTTTTTTAGGTATAACTATCCATTCTGGCCGAAGTGGATGGTCTGAAATGCATTAAAAACTATTTTACTTAATTTTATATATAACTTATTAAAACAGAAATTATTTTTATAATTTTTTTACCTGAATTTTAATAAGCTTATCAAACTTATTAATTAATTCTTAAAATTAACTAAAGAATTAAAAACTTCATTTCAAAAACAGAAAATTTTAATAGCAATTATTATTTAAAAAAATAAATAACAGTACCTATTCCATGAGAAAAACTAAATAAAGTTTTAAATATATTTCAATAACATTAAATTATATTATAAAATAATATTATCTCATACTTTCTAATGAAAAATGAATTTTATTAATTAAAATTAGTTAGTTTAGTATTTTTATTATTATTTAAATTTGTATAATTTTATTATTTATTTTTCCATTTAATTAATTATTAAATTAATTATTGAAAAGTATGAAATAATATTACAAACGAATTAATATTTTATAGTTAATAATTTATTATTTTTCTGCTATTTTTAATAGTTTTAATAATTTTAATAATTTTCTTCATTTATTTTTCTATATTTTATTTTATTAATCATTATTTAATTATTTTAAAACCTAAAATAATATTAAAAACGAATTAATATTTTATTTTTTAATTGAATTTAAAATTACTTTGAATTAAGATTTTATTACACGGAAACTTTTGCGAGATTATATTAAATTGACAATTGAATCGAGATCATATTGAGATTTATTATTTATTATTTATTGATTTTTATTAAAATTTTTTACAGTAATTGAATTGTTTTGAAGAATTTATATCAATTTTCATGAAAATAATAAATTTTTTTTTTAATAATTTTTACTGAAAATTTTGAAAATAAATGAATTTTAAGAAGCATTTGTTTTAAGTTTTTAAAATAATCGTGTTTATTATTGATTGTAATTAACGATTTACTATTAAATTATATGAAAATTATTTATAGAAAATTAAATTCTTTTACACAATTTTATTAGAGTTTTTGTAAATAATTAATAACGATTCAGCATTTTTTTTTAATAAAATAATATAAAAAGTACAAAAAACAAAAATTGTAATAAAATAATATTAAAAAACAATCAAAGAATTTTTGTTTATAATTTTAAAAAATTGGCTAGGGGAGACTGGGGCGAAAAGTTAAATTGTGAAAACAGTTAAAATTCATTATCTTTTGAACGGAAATAGTTAGAGCATTGCAACCCTGAATAAATGTCCGGAGTTATGTGACATTCTGCTAATTTTTGTGGTGTTCATATTTAATTTTTTTTTTCACCCTACTTTTGAAAATTTTTTCGTAAAAGAAAATATCAACTTCTAAGTATATTTTTTGCATTTATTCTCACCGCGATATTTTTACTTCATTATTTGGGCCCCCTGAAGAGATAACTAAAGGTATTTGCTAAATATCTTTAGTCAGATTTTTTATATTTGTTGTTAAAGCCAAAAACGCACCCTAGAGCGAAAAGTTAAATGTATTTTTACATGTTATTAAAAATTTTTTTTTATTTTTCGTTTTTTTGGGTTTATTTGTTTAAAAATGATTTATTTGACATTAGGCAAGTACTCTATCAAAAAACAAGACCGCTCACGTGAAATAAACCAAAAAAAATTTTTTTTTTAAAAAAATTTTTTTTTTTAAATTTTATAACTGTTCTAAAGCTTTTGTTAAGTAAACAAAGATCTTTTATTAACTGAATTACTTGTTTACGTATACTTTAACTTATCTACTACTTAACACCTATCAGAAAATAGTTTTAGTAGGCTAAAAATAGAATTTAACTTTTCGCCCCTGCATGGGGCGAAAAGTTAAAAAAAACAAAATTTTCAAAAAAGGACAAAACATGTATTGTATGCGAAAATATCAGAAACTTTTTTATTGAAAGTTGTAGGGGACAAGTTGCCCTACAATATTGGTGTATAAATATTTGCATCTAAGCGGATTATATTGTCTAAAAAAAATCATTTATGCAAAATTTAACTTTTCGTCCCAGTCTCCCCTACATGAAAATAATTAATTTATAGAAAAATTGTAGTTAAAAACACGTGAAAAAATTGAAATTTGGACAATTTACACATGATTGCAGAAATTCATTTGCAGTGAAATGAAATTAAAATTCTTCTCCCAAACTCAATTATGATAAAAAATTTTAATAATATTTTTGGCAAAATTTTAATTATGTATTATCAGAAATAATAAAATTCTTCGCAGAAATTCAATTACGTTGAAAAATATAAAAAAAATCCTCGTCGAATTTCAGTTATCTTTAGAAATAATAAAATTCTTCTCCGCAATTCAATTATTATCAAAAGATTTTTAAAAATTCTTGAAAAAATTTCAATTATTTTCAAAAATAATAAAACTTTTCGCAGTAATTCAATTATTTTCAAAAATTTTAATAAAATTCTTGTCAAAATTTTAATTATTTTTAAAAATAATAAAATTGATCGCAAAAATTCAATTATTTTTAAAAATTTCTCAGCATTCAATTATTCTTAAAATTTTTCAAATTTGTTTTCAAAAATTTTAATGAAATACTAGAAAAAACCCAATTATTTTTCTATAAAATTTTACGAAATTAACATTTTAATTGTACATTTCGAAAATTTAGTTATATTTTAGAAAAAGAAGTCAAAAATAAATCAGGAAATGGTATTTTGTTGCAATATTTGGAAAAAAAGTCGATAAATTCGCATTTTTTGAAAATAAATCGAAAAAAGTCGCTTTTTTTGAAAATAGTCGAAAAAAGGCTAATTATTTGAGGGCCTGTTACTACTTTTAATTTCTATTTTAATAAAAAGAAAAATATTTTCACTTTAATTGCAATTGTTTTAAAGCAGTTAAAAAATATTTATCTCCGTATGTTTCTTTTTATCAAAAAGTTTTGTCACGAATATTTCTGCAAATTTTGAAATAGAAAGACATAACATGAATTTGACATAAATATTTAACATTTTTTTAAAACTGAACACATATAAATAAATTTTTTTGCCTCGTGGATAATTCTCATTGGCTGTGGATTGCAGTAAAATTTTTATTAACAAAATAAATGTATTGCATTCGTATAAATTTCTGTTTCTGAACATATTCTATTTAGTGTATTTCGAAGCTACTTGGATTTTTAGAAATTCCATTTCACGGTTAGAGAAAAGTAATAATGGTTTCTATAAAGAAACTGCAAATTATTTTGGATTTTTTATTGATAAGTTTGAAAGAGTATAATGATTATAAAAATAATAATGCGGCACATGTGGATCAGGAGACAAAAGATCGAATCGCCAATGTAGATGAGGTAAATTGCAAATAAATAGAATAACTTTTCTTTCTGACAATCATTAATGTATGTAAGTAGAAATAAAAAAAAATCCTGTTTTTTAAAAAGGAAACATTAATTAAATTGTACCTATAATTAAAAAAATTTTGTTATTCAATTCAGAAAATAATAGTAATTTTTATAAATTCTTTTTATTCTTGTGCTCAAAAACTAAGTGGTCACGTGCAATGAGATCTTTTGGAAGCTCATTTATAATGATGTTGATACATAGCAAGGAGGATGATTTTCTCCAAAACATATTTAAAGAAGTAAAAAATGAAAATCGTTCAGAAAATATACAATTTACGAACGATTTGTCAACGGTTTTTCGATATTCCAATATGATTTTAAAAAATAAACGCAATCCTACACCAAAAGTTGATGACTTTAAAATTGACGAATCAAATTTTATGAAAATAATAAATTTCATGATGGCTAGTGCAAATTACTATCACTTTTATCACAATGGTTTTAATTTTTCTTTATTGGCCGATTTAAGAAGTAAAAATGAAGAAGTGTTAAAATTAATTATGTCAAATCCTGATCGTACGACATCGGAAAATGATGCTTTCCTCTATCCATTCCTTTCGTTATTCTGGGTGTATTCATTAATGTTTCCTACACTCGCCAATAGTGAAAATTACACTGATTGCTATTTTGATGCTCTTGTGGGATTCAGAATACCAAATGATACAATTTTTAATTTTCATTTAGAAAAAGAGGAAAAAATCGAAATTTTACTGACAAACTTAACAATTCCATTGAAAAATTTATTGTCATGTATGTTATTACAGGTAATTTGAAAATTATTAAAAGCATTTAGTTAGTTCAACAGCAATAATATTAATGTATTTATTTTCATATTCAAAAATAAAAAATTACATTTCATTGAAAATTTAATGATTTTTAATTATAATAGTATTGCTGAATTATTTTTTTCAAAAAGCAAACTTACATAACTTGAAATATTTTTTCTTGCAGCCAGAAATAAAGAAGACCGTGGAAGAAAATCCGATACTTAACGAAGCTTTCAAAAATATCACCATAATACCCTCTGATGAATTTAATGAAAAACATGAATTATTCAAGAATCATTTGAAGCTCGCTATCGATTATTTTAAAAATGTTTTGAAACTTGACGATTGTAATAAATTCCCAAAGTTTAATAATTCAAAAAATGATGAATTCAATTTTCAGAAAATTGTTAATTTGCTAACTCAAACAGCAATGGAAAATTATTTGTTACACAAAAACTATTATCCCCAATCTTCGAGCTTTCCTGAGACTAGAAGTGAAGAAATGCGAAAATTAATGCCCTCTGAATGCGTGCCAGGATTAAATGAAAATAAAGAAACATTTAAAAGACTCTTTGAATTTTTTGATTTATTAAAAGTATTTTCCTCAGAGTTTTTCTATCGAAAGAAACGGTATTTGAAGAATATTTTGGAATTACTATTAATAAATGAGAAAATTGAAGAGTTCGTTTTAAAGAAAAATAACGTGAGCAGAGAAACATTAAATACCAGTATAAAAAAAGGAATAAAAATTGTTAGTGATTGTCTCACACCAAGAGCAATTTAAGGGCATGTGAGAGAAAAAGTGGTTTTCGTAAATTAATTTTTATTTAATAGGAAAATAATATTTTGAGTCTTTGTAATTGAATAAATTTCAATAATTATTTATTGAAATTTATTCAATTACAAAGACCGAAAATATTAATTTATAAATGTTAAAATTTATAAATAATAAATATAACATTACATTTATAAAATTTTATAAATGTACTAATTTATAAATAATAAATACATCTAATCATTGGATATCCGTTTATTTATTTCAATATTTCCCTTTACCAGTTTTAAACTATTTAATCTAATATCGGGGTTGCTACAGGTCAGGAAAGTCAGGGAAAAGTAAATATTTTGTTTGAAAATCAGGGGAAAGTCAGGGAAAAACAAAATTAAATTTTTTTTGGCAACCCTGGTTATAGAGATAAAAAAAATCGGTTGAATTAAAATTAACTGCATAAATGAAAAAATTTGTTCATAAAGAAACCTGATAAGTAAAAATTAATCGAGATTCGGCTAAATAAAATTCGGACAAATAAAAAAATTATTTTTTAAAAGAAAATTGTAAAAAAAATGAAAATATGTAAAAATTATGAAATTAATCATAAAACTATCTTTAGCGAGAGAGATAAAAAAAAAAATAAAAAATGCAATTTTCGTTGAATGAAGGAAAATAAAAAGAATATACCAAGAATCGCTCGGAGATGACCCTCGAGGGTGGACAAAATCGTGGATTTTATCTCGTGGACGGACTTCCCGAGGAATTGCTCGCTGGCCGTGTGAAGCAGCTCATCGGCCTTCATTATCTTGCATTGAGCTACTCCCGAAACTGTCAGTGGAACACCCTGTGCGGTCTCGACACTCTCGCAAATTGGATTCAGTGTCATCACTTCCAATGATAAGCGCTGAACGTCCGTGACGAACCACCAGGTGAAGGCGTAGCCGCCGACAATTGTTCGCTTCTTCGTTGAACCGCAACATCCTCCTGCAATCATCAAAAAAATTTGCATTAATAGATGAATCAAATTATTTTTTTTTTATTTCATTTTTTACCTTATTTTCTATTCTATTAACTTTATTTACAACTTCCGGTTATTTAAACATTAATTAAATACGATTAAATATTTAAATAAATGTAACAGTACATTTTAGCTTGGAAATAAAATTTGTATCTCATGTACACCATTTTTTATCTACTTTAACGAATATATAATTATATATTTCTGATTATCTAATATTTAATTAATACAGCCTAATTAAAAACAATACAAACAAATAATTAACTATATAATAATTTGAATTATTCTTATTTTTTTATTTTTTAATAATATTTTTCGAAAAAATTCAATTACTATCTAAAATTTTAATAAATCCTTCGATACAATTCAATTATATTCATAAATAGTCAAATTCATTGCAGAAATTCAATTATATTCAAAACAATTTCACGAAAGAATTCAATTTTTTTTTCCTTAATTCATTATAAAAAATTTCAAAGGATTATTCAAAGAATAAATTCTTGGAAAAAATCCAATTATATAATTGTAAATAGTAACATTTTTTTTTGCAAAAATTAAATTATTTTTTAAATTTGTAATAAATTCTTCGAAACAATTCAATTATAATTATAAATAATAAAAAAATCATTGAAAAAATTCAATTATTTTCAAAAAAAATTCACCAAAGAATTTCATTTTTTTCTTAATTCGTTATAAAATTTTTCAAAAGAAATTTTCAAAAATTTTAATAAAATTCAATAATTAAATGTTTAATTTCAATTATTAACAAACACGATTATTTAAAAAACTTGAAAGAAATTGTTCATAAAATTCAATTATTTTTAAAGTTTTTAATTCAAATAATTAGTAAAAAAAAACTCCATTATATTTAAAAAAAAATTCAAATAAATTCTTCAAAAAGAAATTAATGGGAATTTTCAAAAATTTGAACAAAATTCTTCACGAGAATTCCAATTATTTTTCTAAATAATAAAATTCTTCGAAGGAATTCTATATTATTATCAAATTTTTTGATAAAATTCTTTGCAACAATTTGATGATTTTCAATATATTTTAATTTCAAAATTGAAAATATTTAAAAAGAAAAATTATTAAAAAAATTAAGAAATAAAAAATAATTGTGAAAGTAATTGAATTTTATGAAAATTTTCTTTTAAGTTTTTAAAATAATTGTGTTTATTATTAATTGTAATTAATAATTTTCTTATTAAATTGAATTGTTTTGAAGAATTTTATCGGCATTGTTGAAAATAATTGAATTCCTGAGAAGTTTTTACTATTTATGAAAATATTTTAATTCTTGCGAAGAATTTTCTTATTTATAAAAATCATTGAATTCTTGCGGTGAATTTTTCAATTCATAAAAATAATTGAATTGTTTCGAAGAATTTTATCTGAATTTTTAATAATAATTGAATTTTTTGACAGAATTTTATTGAAAATTTTGAAAATAATGATATTTTTTAAAAAAGAATTTCATCAAAATTATTGAAATAATTTAATTTTACATTAAAATTCTTGAAAATAATCGAATTTAATTAATAGTTTTGTAAATTTGTATTTCTCAGAAGAATTTTACAATTTATAATAATAATTGAATTGTTTCGAAGAATATTATCAGAATTGTTGAAAATAATGGAATTTTTATTAAAACTGTTGAAAGTAATTGTATTTAAATAATATTTCTAAAAATAATTGTTTTTTTCGAGAAATTTTATTGAAAATAATTTGAATTGTTCTAAAGAATTTTATTATTTATGAAAATACTTATTCAAATTCTTTTCAAGAATTTTATTAAAGTTTTCAAAAATAATTAAATTCGTTTCAAGAATTTCTTTTATTTTTAATAATTTTATTTTTTTTTAATAATGTTAATTGAAAATTTTGAAAATAATTGCTTTCTACGAACAATTTCTTAAAAGAATTTAAAATCATCGTGTTTGATAATAAATTTAATAAATTTTCGAAAAAATGTAATTAAAATGTTTTTTTTTAATTTAATTGAATTCCCGAAAAAAATTCAAAAAATTGAAACAATTAAAAGTTTTGACAAATTTCATGAGATAAATTTTATATTTGAAAGAATTTAATTTTTTTATTATTTTTAAAAATTGTTCTGAAGTGTGTAATCGCAATTTTCAAGAAAAAAGTAATAAAACAGGAAGTAAATAAAAATAATAAAAGAAAAGTAAAAAAAAAAAAATATTAGAACTAAAATTCTAAATTAACAAAAATAAATTTAAAAAGTCATAAAAAAATGTTTTATCTGCAATAAAATAAATAAAAAAAATTCAATAAGAGGATAAAAGTTTGAGAAATGATTTACGTGACGATCAACAGGTACTCTCCGGAAGAGTGGGTCAAACTCCCGGTAAACTTACGGTTTCAGTATATGGAAGCATTGAAGAAATTGTGCCAGGGACGCATTTTTAAAAAGCACCCTTGAAAAATTCTTTAAAAGGGAAGTGGTAAAAAATTTCACTATAAATAATTCACTTAAAATTTAATTTATAATTTAACTTTAATTTCGCACTGTATTTAAAAATTATTTTTACTTCTTCTTTTTCTCTAAATTATTTAGGAATATAATGAAATTTTTATTGTAAAAAATAACATAATTTAGATTTTATGCAATAACTAAAAGAAAAAAGAAAAAAAAAAAACGAAAAATATTTTGAGATGAAATTTTTGGTAAACTTGAAATTCGTAAAATTTTGTCTAAAGAATAAATTATCGGAAATTTTCTATTATTACACATTTAGGAGATCTTTTCCCCTCTGGTGATGATGTCTTTTTTGCTGAAGTTTGTCAAATTTTTTTTTAAACGAAGGAGGAATTTCTTATAGCTTATAATCATAAGTGGGTCAACCAATTTACTCATCTTTATACCGTAAGTCGACTTATACTGACGGAATGACGTCAGAAACCATCACTCTAGATCATCGCCATTTTATAATATACGAATTATAATAAAAATTATGTAACGCATTATTTCATTTTATATGCAATTTTTATAATTAGGTATTCTATAATTAGGTATACTTATCGAGTGTTAAAATCATTATTTTACATTATAAGATTACTGTAACTTCATAAAAATTATTTTCATATTCAATTATCTATTGAAATTTAAATTAATTTTCAAATCTATTTTTATTTGAAAATTCTACTAGAATTCAATTATTAAAATACAAAAATAAATTATTTATTAAATAAGTGAATGTTTCTTAGAATTTAATTCTTATAAAGAATTTTATTAACAAATTTTTAAATAATTGAATTTTTTTGACGAATTTTAATAAAATTTTTTAAGATAATTACATTTTTAAGGAATTCTATTAAAATTGTATTAAAAATAATTGAAACCCTGGGATTAGTTTTATTAGTTATGAAAATAATTGAATTATTGAGAAGAAACTTAAAAAAAATTGGTAAATATTTGAATTACTGAGAAATTTTTATTATTTATGAAAATAATTGAATTCTTTTGAAGAATTTTATTATTTATGAAAATATTTTTATTCTTATTAAAAATTTAAATTTTATTATTTTCTTATTTATGAAAATAATTGAATTCTTGCGGAGGATTTTTCAATTCATAAAATTAATTGAATTTTTTTGAAGAATTTTATCTGAATTTTTGAAAATAATTGAATTTTTTAAAAGAATTTGATTAAAAATTGTATTGAAAATAACTGAGTTTCTTTAGAAGAATTTTATTGTTTACAAAAATAATTGTATTATTTCGAAAAAATATGTAATTAAAATTGTATTAAAAATAATTTAATTCTTGACAAAGTTTTTATTAAAATTCTTTAAAAAAATTGATTTGTTTTGAAGAATTTATTTCAATATTGTTAAAAATAATGCATTTTTTAATAATAATTTTTAAGTTTTTAAAATAATTGTGTTTATTATTAATTGTAATTAATAATTTTCCTATTAAATTATCTATAATAAAATTATTCTTAGAATATTAAATTCTTTTAAACAATTTTATTAGAATTTTTGTAAATATAATTCCATTTATTTTTTTTGAAGAATTTCATTAAATTTCGTAAAAATACTGAACTTTCTATTAATAATTTTACCAAAATTTTTTAAAATAATTGAAATTTACCAGAATTTTGTTAAAAACTTTTAAGAACAATTAAATTGTTTAGAAAAATTTAATTACAATTTTTAAAAATAATTGAATCTGTTAGAGAAATTTCATTAAAATTATCTTAAATACAATTGAATTTTTTCCCAGAAATTTAATTAAAATTGTATTTTAAATAATTGAATTTCTCAGAAGAATTTTATTATTTACAAAAATAATTGAAATCTTGGTAAGAATTTTACAATTTATAAAAATAATTAAATTGTTTCCAAAAATTTTATCAGAATTGTTGAAAATAATTGAATTTGTATTAATACTCTGGAAAATAATTGAATTTAAATAATATTTTTATAAATTGTATTCTTTTGAGAAATTTCATTAAAATTATCTAAAATATATTTTAATTTTTTCCAAGAAATTCAATTAAAATTGTATTTAAAATAATTGAATTTGTCAGAAGAATTTTATTATTAACAAAAATAATTGAAATCTTGGTAAGAATTTTACAATTTATAAAAATAATTAAATTGTTTCCAAAAATTTTATCAAAATTGTTGAAAATAATTGAATTCCACCGAAACATTTTATTATTCATGAAAATAATTGAATTTCTTTGAAGAATTTTATTATTTATGAAAATATTTTAATGCTTGCTAAGAATTTTCATTTTTATAAAAATAATTGAATTCTTGCGGAGGATTTTTCAATTCTTAAAAATAATTAAATTGTTTCGAAGAATTTTATCTCAAAAGAATTTTATAATTTACAAAAATAATTGAATTGTTTCGAAGAATTTTATCAGAATTATTGAATATAATTGAATTTTTATTAAAATTCTTGAAAATAATCGAATATAATTAATAT